CGATCATCTTGCCTTCCGTTGCGAGATAGCCAAATAACTGAAGCGCTACTATACATGTGGCCACTAAACTCAGCTATAGTGTCCATGGAACGCGAGTTCAAGTTATCCGTTACAGGTCGTGACCAATTCATGAGTGAATCTGTGATAATAACAAATTTTTGGCATAATACTTACATACAAGGTCAATAATTTCAGTGCTGTTCACCAGTGGGCAGCCAACCTGGTGAGATCCGCCGTTGGGGTAGAAGTCGACTTGGCCAACTGGCTCGATCATCCCTAAGCATCCCTAGAGATAGAAAAAATCATTGTTTTTCCATGAAGATCTGGCCAAAATAAACTCACTTGCTACACTAAGGACTCTTTGAGAACATTTCTCTATGGATGGATAAATATACATGAATTAATCTTGCTGGCAGGAAGTGGACAAGAAACATTATTTCAAGAAAACTTCCATCGTATCATTTTGATGATACATAACAATTTGGTTACTTCTTACTTCTTCTTCAATGGTACATTATAATTTTGGTTACTTCTTCTCTTACAGGGTGACACAAAAAAAACAGAGCTCATAAAAAGTTGAATAATTTCCACAATACTCAAGTAATCCTGTTATTTGTTTCAGATTCATTAAGAAGACGGATTGATCTAAGAGTCTACCACGTGTGAGCTTCGAGATGCCTTGGACTACAGAGCAAAAGACATTTGCAGTTGAGACATATTTTCGGCTAAAGTCTTTCCGGGAAACGCAATTGCGATTCAAAGACCATTTCAATTGTCGTGAATTTCCTGTCAGCTCAGTGATCTGCGGATGGGTTCAAAAGTTCAGAACCCATGGGACTGTGAATAACCTCAATGCAAAAGACAAAAACAGACAATCACACTCTGGGCGACCAAAATCATCACGGACACAAGACAATGTTGCTGCAGTCAGAGACTCTGTTGTCCACAGCCCAAGCAAGTCTGTGCGTCGGCGAAGTCAAGAGCTTGGCATCAACCGGGAGTCTGTAAGAAGAATTTTGATCTCAGATCTCCATCTGTATCCCTACAGGATTCAAATCAAGCACAAGCTCACAGCTGACGACATGCGGAAGCGAGTCACCATGTGCCAGTGGTTGTCAGACAAGATTGATGATGAACCGGAATTTCTCGACAACATGTGGTTTTCAGACGAGGCCCACTTTCTGCTGTCTGGGCACGTTAACTCTAAGAATAACATTTTCTGGGGCAGCACACCCCCTGACCACTGCCTGCAAAGGCCCTTGCACTCTGTCAAGTGTACTGCCTGGGTGGCCATTTCAACTCATGGCATTATCGGGCCATTCTGGTTTGAGGACGATGACGAGCGGTCCTTGACTGTGAACACGGAGCGCTACATCCAGGTCCTGCGCAAGTTCTGGGTAGCACTTGGCCGACGTAGAGGCATTGACAGAGCCCTCCAGTGGTTTCAACAGGACGGAGCCACCCCTCACACCTCCGATAGATCCCTGGAGTGGCTGCAGCAGCGCTTCGAGGACCGACTCATCAGCCGCAGGTGCCACCCGGAGTGGTCACCGCACTCACCAGACCTGAACCCCCCAGACTTCTACCTGTGGGGTTACCTCAAGGACAGGGTGTATGAGCACAACCCCCAGACCATCCCTGACCTCAAAGCAGCCATCACAGCAGCCATCAGAGCCATCCCGAGAGAGGAGTGCAGGAGGGTCATTGAGAACTTTGCCAGGCGAATCCAAGTCTGCCTGCAGCGCCGGGGCGCGCATCTGGAACATATCTTTGAGCGGCTGTAGAACAAAGAGTTTTTGTGGTATAGAATTGAGATTTTGCAGATGTTGGCTACATAGGTTGTACATAATTCCATAGAATTTTTGTTTCAAACTGAATAAAATTTCAGGAGTTATAAGACTTTTAGTGAGCTCTGTTTTTTTTGTGTCACCCTGTAGTAAGAAGTGTACAAATCTCTGAGAAGTACAAGTCTTCGGGAATTTGCCTCACGTCTACAAGAGAGCCGGCGTTGGTGTGGATGATGTCGACGAATCTGGCGCTGTTGGGGTTTATGCGTTGGGACGCGTCAACCTCCTCAAAGAGCGGCGCAGCAGGGTCCATACCTGTTCGTTCCAGCAGACAAGGGTAGCAATTCTAATGATCTGGGAGTTGGTTTGCGGTAATTTTGCATATTGTACAAAAAAGGAGCGTTTACAAGACGGGAGGAGCGTATGGCACAAAAGGAGCGTATATGACAAAAAAGGAGGCACTAGGCTGCCTCTAATTACTACATGTATATTGTTGCATGCAATAACAAAAACAATTTGTCTTGCAACCGCTACATCGGATTAGATAAATTAAATAACAATACCTATACATGAAGTTTGTTATAAATGGAATAAATCCAACATACCAGTAACGCGATCGAGTTTTCCACTAGTGACGGTGTTGCCAACCATTCCAGCACATTGAGCACCAAGGCTGTGTCCCGCAAGTGCAGTCCTCTGGAAATCCAGACCTACATTGTCCACCATCCAGTCCAGCAAAGACGCGGTGAGATCGGCGGTTTCATAAACGCCAGCAGCAGCAGCGACGTAGTCGGGAGCAGCAGCCAGCTCTGCCCAGTCTACCGAGATGAAATTGGCATCAACCCTATCGAGCAGAGCGTTCTTGGCATCCAAAATCCACGATGTCTTGCCATTGGAACTGAAACCATGGAATATTAAAAGTGTTTCTCTGGAGGATTCAAAGTTTGAAGCGGCAAAACTATCGGCGTTGAAGGCCTCCAATACGTATTCGACATTGCGATTGGACCTTGTCCAGAGCAGGAAGTTGACTTGGTCTATCGCAGCTTTGACTTCTGGTTTAGGCCCAGAAACTAGCAACTTTTGCCATCCGTCAGCCCAGTTTTTGGACAAAGATACGAGACGCTCCCTTATCTTAGGACTGTAGTCAGCAAACGCGGCTTCTCGCTCCAGTTTGCTGGTGCTCATGCCTGCTGACACTGCCAGGATGCAGGTCAGCGCTACCATTACCCGGCGGTCCATCATCGTTCACAATTTCTGCCTCCTGTAGGTTGAAAGACACAATGATGAGATCCTTGAAGAACATCTCAAATTTCTGTCTGAAACGAACCTAGAATTTCAAATTTGTAAACAATTTCTCTGATGATAAATATTTTTAGCTCACTTGGGTAAATTACCATAAATGGAAACCTTCAATCTACGCAGCCCAAGAGACCATTTATCTCCTCAGATACTACGTTTCCACGCCTATGCCTATAAAGACTAATCTGCTCATCACACCCTCGCATGCCACAGAGCGTCATCACATACCAAGCAATAACCTCAAAATCTGAACTTCCAAAATCCTTGATGCCACAATAACGAAATTTTTGCTTCTCAGATCCTCTCAATCACGGAAGCAATGATATTTCATCGAGTGCCCGCCCTCGTCAACGAGGCATTATTTCATCATTTCAATTTATTTTTTCATATAAACTTGCATCTATAACTTGACATGATATTAGACTATTCGATTTTAGAGACTAAAGATGATTAATTCATAACTGCAATTGACGCCTTCTATGTAAAAAACGGACAAAATATACATTGGTATTATAATATTAAATTGGTCCCTTGTTCTATTTCTGTTACCGTGCTAACGGGTGGGACAGGCACGTTGTCCACTTCAGAGACTTAATTAAACAGTGGAAGCCATCATTGTACAGTGACTAAAAAAAGTTGTTAGTGTTTAGTAGACTAAAAAGCCTGAGTGAATTTAACGTTAACTGTTTATAAGGTGCATACCTTTACTGTGATTGAACAAAGCAGTCAACGAATATGTGATGATGCCTTCTGAGTAAGAACCGAGAAATGACACCTGGTAATGCAGACTCGCCAATATAGTAGAACACATGTCGCTATCTTGTGGGAGGATTATTTATTACGACAGTTGTTCATCCACCAGCTTTTTCTCTGTACGTTCCCGCCACCGAACTATAGAAATACTTACTTCTTTACGTAAATCACAGTTAATGTAAATGTGAATAGAGCTAAATTTTGACTATAACTTGTTAATTTTGTCAGTAGTTTATTTGTTTAGGTTTCAATAGTTTAGACCATTATCAATAGAAGACCATTGTCTATAGAATAGAATTGATATGGATATCGGTATTTTACAATTCAGTAAATTTTTCAAAATGACCAGCATGAAAAAATATCTGCATAAACAGAAAATTGAATACAGAAAGAATAATCCTAAGACGGATAAAATATCCGTTGAATCTGTTACAGGTAATGTTATAAAGTTCATGTGTTTTTTCACTAAGGATATAATAAAATGAGAAGCACCACCTGCAACATCGTATGATGAGATGGCATACCTCCCTTTTCCCACGAGAATAAATAACTTGTTTTCCCTCTGTCGCACCTGAGTTGATATGGGACTCAAATTAAGATGCCATTTTCAAATGGCATAATCGTTAATGATGTTATAATGTTTTCTGATGCTTCGTATAGTGTATGTTATTGCGTTATAGCATTTCATTTCATTGCCCATTTATAAAAATGTTCTGCAATGAATATGACACTTAATGGAAAATTTTATAAATTCTAAATAATTGATACGAGAATTCCTTGTTCGCCCAAGCATTTCACAAGCGTAAACAAGCTTGCACATGCAGCTTAGTAAGGCACAATACGCTTACCTGTTCATTGCTCTCTCTCGCTCTCTCGTCTGTCAATTAACTATTTGCTGGCATACCTAATCTTAATCACAGAAATTATTAACGATGACTATTTTACTACAGTAGTGAAGTTTTGTTAACAGTGTGTGTTTTGTTAGTATCTCTACGCACACAATAAATACGAGTATAAGTTTGACCCATGGGAGGAGCTTCGTTCGTTCGAACAATGTGTTGGTAGCAACAAGGGACCGTTTCCTGGCAACTCGCGCTATATCGGCATACGCCTGCTCGAATAACCAAGCCACGACTCCCGCAGCCATTCGATACGCACATGCTGTCGGGCTAACAAGTATATGGACGTAGGAAAAAACTGTTGTATGTTACATCAAAAAACTGGAATGCTTTAAAATTGCGAAACCAAGAATTGTGTATACCTGGATGTCTCAATTTAAACGATCTGTATTAATTTTGTGCGAGTAAATAACTTAGAAAGTGAGTTATTGCAGGATAAATAGTGCCATGTTGTGGAGTCTGAGGCTATTTTTTTAATTGCCTGAGCATAGTTTAAAAGTCGCAAGTGAAATATATCAGTTCCGTGTGAATTTCGATTTCATTTTAGAGGCAACCCGGTCGAAAAAATTCGTTTGACCTTAGAAAGGGACATTTATATTCAAGTTGACATATAACTAATACTAATAGTATATTTGTATTGAAATGGCGAATAATTCTCCCGTTTGTGAAGTGTGCATCGGTGATTTTGATTCAGAGGACCACAAGCCTCTGATGTTGCCTTGTGGACATGCCTTCTGCTACGAGTGTGTGGACACCTTGGCAGAGAACCAAAACAATAGTTGTCCGTCTTGCAGAAGAAACTTTTCTGGGGACATAGGCGACCTTCCGGTTTGTTATACGCTCATACCAAAAACAAGCATGAAAACAGAAGCTATTTCAAATGAGGCCAAATGTCATGAACATGAATTTCAATTTCTGTATTGGTGCAAAACTTGCAAGCAGGTTGCCTGCAAGCAATGCGCTCTAGGAATGCACAATGGCCACAATCTCTTACTGAAGGAAGAAGCTGTGAAATTGGACTCTCAATTTTTCCCGTCAAGAGATTTTCTGATTAATAAGTTGACAACACAGAAGTCTCTTGTAGCGAGCTTGACATCGGCATGTGACGCTAACCTTTCTGATTTAACGGAACTTATAGCACGCATCGAAAATCAAAGGGATTATCTCAATTCGAAAAAAATTCAGATCGAACAAGATTTAGATATTCTACAAAAGAAGACATCAACTAGAAGCCCAAAGACCGTTGAAGAAAAAAATTGGACACATTTAATGATAACATCGAGAACCTGCAAGCCAATCGACGAGCAGGAACATCTCATCGTCGTGAAGAATGTCGTGCAACGCAACGTGCTCAACATATTGCGGGTAACGCAGAAAGAATCTCAGCTAATGCATGTTAAATTTCTAATATAAGTTCAGCCAAAAATTAAAAGAGTATATTTTTTCAACTATTTCAGTATAAATGTGGAAAATTTTTTCAATGTAGCCACAAATTCTTAGAACCGGATTTAATTTAAAGTTGCTAGGATTTTTAAACTGAGAAAAAATCATGTCCCAACCTTTCAGAACATTGACGTTACTGGCCTGAAGTCCCTTCAAGTAGAACAACAGCTCATGATGAATGACAAAGAATGGAACATCGCAAATGAAGAAGACTCGCATCGAGCACTACTAACTCTCTGGACCACAAGCAACAAACCCTCTAACGTTGTTGTGAGAGATGCCCCGCGTGAACCGATTTCTTCTATGCCCGCTCTATTGGCGTGCGTGGCTCAAGTTTGTGACAAAATTGATCTGCAGCTGCGAGGATCGTTCTGGCAGACTTACTACGAACAGCCCCAACTGAATGACGACCTGCTTCGACCTTTCATTCGTAGTAAGGAAAGGTGCGATGAATTATGTAGTAGGTTCAATAATTTCACCGCCAAAATATGAATTCCTAAGATAATGAATTGTTTTTATTAATTTTCTACCTCGTTCTAAATTTTCGTTTAACTTTAGACCGATGACTCTCGGAATCGGAATTTTCGCTGTGGTCATTTTAGTTGGAAATTCCGGGTCATTTTATTGTGAAAGTTCCATAAAGTACTTTTACTAGCGTATTGAAGCTACCGCGCACGCTTTCAGATCTGTTGCATGCAATTTTACATATTTAAAACAAATCATTTTCTAATGGATTGCATCTCATTCTCAAAAACTGTTATCTGTACGCTAGTGTACTTTCAGGAACAAATTGCAGACGTTCTATGGCAGGATATCACAGGACATGGTGCTCAAGCTCGCGTCCAGGAAAATGTTCTGCCTTGGACTGAGGATCGATCACGCCACGGACATGTCGATCGTCAATGCAGTAGTGGACTCCCAGTGCCATTCGTTTCGTGAGTTTTATTTCCTTCAATGTTGGAAAATTCCAAATCAAATGTCATGAAAATCCACCTATTTCTGTTGAAGACGTTTCGAAAGCCATGCAGCTCCATCGTCAGTTCAAAAATGTCGTGTATACAAGTATGATCAATAGACATCTTTTCTATTTATTACACTTGTAGATCTCCGAGGCTGGTCTCCAAAACTATCAATAAATATATAAGAATTTATAGTAAAGTATAGTATCTTCTGCATTGAAGACTAGGCCTGTCGCCGATTCCTGTATTTTTCTTGACAAGACAGGCCTTTTGATCAAATCTTTTCACGGACGGTAGGTTTAAAATAGTTTATAGATTTCAGTTGTTCCGTAGGATACGAGGCATTTCAAGACTAAACATATGCTCCTGCATGGCCTTGTCTAGTCTGTTCTTGAACGCGTTCATACTCGTAGCGTCAACAATATCTTCAGGGAGGCTGTTCCACATGTCGGTGACTCGAAGCAAGAAGAAATGTTGTCGCATGGATGTGTTACAACGTAGTTTTTTCCTTTAAAGCTGTGGCCCCTGGTGTTGGTTCTTGTTTCAAATTCTAGTAATCCTTCTGGAACCTTGTATAAACCATGAGTATACTTGTATAGTTCGAGTGGCCTTTATTTTCAATTCTTGTTTGAATTGTGATAAAAGCCAACATATAGAATAGAAGTGTCGGCGTTGAAGAAATAGGCCAATGGTATTAATAATATGAAGATCAATACAATATTAAATCACTGCTTAAAATTATCATGAGCAGCGCATTGGCTATTATATTCAATGTAATCCAGACTGGAATGCATGGCCAGATATCGCCGTGAGCGAGCAAGTGGGGCGCCAAGGGCTGGACGCCATCTCGCCGCAGCTGCTCGCCAAATGCTGTGTATTCCTGCACTTCGTCCAGCTCAACGACGGCGATGTGCCGTGGCTGATGCACGTCGTTGATTCTCTTGTACCTCGTTCGCTGTCCAAGTCACAAGACAAGTCACGCAGGTAAGCACAATGAATAAAGAGAAATTGTTGTAAAAATAAAAATATCGATAACTGCGAAAGTAACATACCCAGTAGCCAAGCAAATTTATCTTCTATTTCTGTTATAGATACATTATTTTGGAGTTTCGGAGCCGGATTTTACTGAGCGTTGAATACTTACAAGTTCTCAAAATGTTGAAAAGCTCATACAGAGTGCAATAGTGGCGTCGGCATCACCGGCTGCATGTAGTGAATCTCCGGCCGCGTGAACGCCGCAGCGGCGCCACGGTAGCGCCGCAAAGATCACTTTAGGGTCGTTATTAGCGGCCGTCTTAGCGCCGAACTGACACCACAGCCGGGCTGTGGCTCAACTGCAACGTCAGTGAGCGGTACAGGCACGACATTACGCCCGTACAAAGAATTGCTTAGAGATATAACTAGTAAAAAAACGCAAGTTATGCCCACGAAAAATGTTGATTTTGTAAAACAGTAGGGGAATTATAAACTGATAACGTTTTATGTCAGTGCATATAATTTAGCATTGATGTTACAAGAGAATTACCGTGAAAATGTGCAAAAAATTTTTTCCTTATATATCATTTCACGTGTTCTTACCGTGACCTGACCGTGCTAAGTAATAACCGTACCTATGATAAATAATACTTGAATGGTACGATTGCCGACTTTATGATCGCTGAAAGTATCATTGCCTCTGCGTTGTCTCACGGCCAAGGCGCAGCCGTAATTTTGATGATAGCCGTGCCTAAAGAATATGGCAGAATTGTGGCCGTTACTCGTAGATTGTGGACGCTAGGATGCAGGAATCGTAGTTGTAAGAGTCTCGGAGCTTAGCGTGGTCGTTATTTCGCGACCCGCCGGCCAACGGCGTGGCTCAATGAATATCGACTACTCCAAACTCCTTTGCACAATGCATCTTCAATATTCAATTATTGAGTGTCTGTATAAGGTTTTATTCATCTCCACTGCCTGCGTTCAAGTCTTGCGCTGGCGATGACCAGAGCCGTTTTCATGATCGGACTGCATATGCCGGCAGCCGACCCTGCCGGCATATGCAGCCGCACAAAGCTCGCCGGTACAATGGCGCCCAGCCTGTGCCGAAAGCAGTGGAGGCAGCGTGAGTCGGTATTTCGGCAATGCTAACTGTAATTAGTGATGATGCTGGTAGGCAACTTTTCCATGGGTATTGTGCGTGCTTTAGTGACACGCGAAGTCATTATCGCACAAGTACATAACACGTGGGTGGCGAAGAGGTTACATACAGTTCAGAGCATTAGAGCTGTGAGTTTTGGATTCGTTCACACAGCTACCTGCGACAGTTCTGGCCAAAACCGGTGAGGTGGCCAGGCGGTTAAGTACAGCAAAATATTAGCAGTGACTTGTATCTTCGAAACCTATGGCAAACTGTAAAAATTCTGCTGTGTTCAGAATCAGCAATGGGTCTAATGGGCCAAGGCTTGATAAACGTTGTCACCGCTATTCTATTTCATGACTAATTTCCTCTTTTTCAGAATTGCAGGGCTGTATCTCGTCGACTGCCAGTTCACTGCTTTGGAAGCTCTCCGTGTCATTTCCTGGGTCGACGACAACCGCCTGACGTCCAATGTTTGGTATCAGACGGCCGATTGTGATGACTTCACCAAGAAACTCCTACAAGACAAAGCTGCTGGCGCGAAAATTGAACTGTCGTGGAACGCAATTCTTCCTCGCGCACCTAGAATATTGCGTTGAAAATAAAATGGTGTTACCCGATAAGCTATACTGCTATAGGAATGTATACATCTTATTCCATTATTCATTCCCCTCTACATATGTAGGTGCTACAAATTCATATGTAACAAATTCAAAAAAATTTGATTTAATTTGTAAAAATAGAGAAATAGCCATTTTCTTGCATTCCAATGTTTTGGTTTCAAAAATAAAAATGTCTCACTCGCTGTTTGAGCTCATTACGAACAGTTTGAGCAGCATTACGAACAGCAGTTTGAGCTCATTAATTTACTTTTTACCCACCAGACAAGTGATGTTAAAGCAACATTGAATCGACGTTTATTCATTTAAACAACGTTCAATTCAACATTGATTCTACTTGAAATGTCTGGTGGGTAGGGAAATAATTGAGACACTTTGGCATACCTACAAACCGATTATTCCATACAAAATTTTCAGGTATTCAAGACGTACGGACGACATACGTATGCTTGTAAAGAATCATTGAGCCAAAGCATATTTCATCTATTGATTCAACCATGAGTCATTCAACTTAATTTGATAAAGGGTTGGGTTCCCAGAAATTTCTTGTTTTGTCCTGTAAGGGGACGTATGTTATTGTAAATATTAGATTAGAAATTTATCTTTTAGGTTTTTAGTCACCACTGACGTGACCTCGCGTAGGAATCCGATATCTCGTCATTCGTTTGTGCGATTCCACCACAGAGGTACGTGGTTCTTTTAGTCGTGCTTATTTTCGGTGTTGACAGTGCCCTGGTGTTTATAAGTGAAGTTTTATTGATCTTTTAGTGCATTTTTGTAGTTATATTTATTCTTGTATCATGCCAGCCGTGCTATATTTCTGCATTTATTAGTTTATTTATTTCATTAGTTCTAATTTTGTTTTCGTTTTTGTATGTGCAGAAAGTCTCCGATATAGGAACTTGCTTCGATCATTATTGAAAATAGTTAGTCGGCCTAAAGAAAGCGCACGGTTTTGTTATGTTTATTTATTGTTTTTCTTATTCATTGACAGATTGTTTCAATTAATTTTTTGTTCATTGATTCAGTTTTTATTCATCTTTCTAAATGGCAATAGATATTACAACTCGATCACAAGTGAATGTCTGGGGCCACTATGATTTATATATCATTTATTTATCGAATGGGCCCCGACAGTCCCATTACGAAGATTCATTTCGAAAATTATCCCGGACGCCGAATTCCAGCAGACAAGATTTCATTTGCACCAGTTGCGTGAATTTGTCCAATATTAAGAGGTCTATTCGTCGATAAAGCGTTCAGGACACAGTACTGTCAGGAATGCAGACGACCTGCACTTTGTGCCGTAGGAAGTAAAAATCTGCTGGAAAAAGAGTGCTTTGTTATCTTTTCACACAGCCCTCAGCCCCGGAAGGGAAGAAACTCGCAAGAAAGAGCTGCTAAGATTTTTGCGTGATGAATTAAACTCATTATAAAAATACAGAGCCCAGAGGCCCAAGATTGACTATGCTTGCCCAATCTAGACTTATATAACCTATTCCACCTACACCAATCATATCTGAAAACGCCGCTCAATAGCAGGTTGCCACAACTTATCTGCCGAGCAGCGTCTAGATTCCGAACATCAAAATGCGCATCTTTCAACAACACACAGACCTCCTCGCCCAATACTTCTGCGATGCCACAATCCACAACATGCCTGTCATCAACTCACGAGACCGGTTCAACAACCTCGCCACATAAAATACACAATACACCAAATTTATTATTGTTGTTCAGCCAGTACTCCAACCAATATCAACAGTGTAAGCCTTAAAACAGCCATTAACATCCTCTACTTTAATGCTGCCCGAGCTGCCATCGACTCTTGCTATACTTCGGTGCTGCTCAACGGCTGACGTCCTCCAATCCCAACAATAGTCAAGTCTAAACAGTCACTTCCGATCGAGATGAGCAAAACGGTCTTTAGCACAACTTTGCTCCGGTCACTGCATACTCCTATGCAGCTACATAGCATAATCAAGCAATATTAGCAGCTACTGTCATCTCTCCCAGGATGACGTGCCCCACCTCTTCGACTATCCTGACAAATCAAAATCACTTAATACCGTGGACCTTTGTGAGAGGCCCAGCTGTGGTTGTACATTGGCTCCAACCACGGCGGGACCAGTGACGCCGGGATCGCGCGCGGGGCTACAACATTAACTCGTTATAGAACTAGCTGGTGGAAGAGAAAACTCATTTGAGCTAAACGGAGGAGAGCGATATCCCCTAAGTTGAAGTCCACAAAGCGGTCAGTCATCTCTGACCTCGCCAGAGAAAGTACTCTTAAGCTGCTTTCTTTGTACGAAAATGCAATCTTGTATGGTTCGGGATTCCCGAGGGCACTGCTTCGGAAGCAGAGAGCTGTTGCTGCTGACGATGCGTTTATTGACGATTGTTGTGGCAAGGCTCTTACCATCTCTGCGGTTATAACGGCAGTCAAGAGGCTGCGATCACTGCCACCTGTAGGCCGCTGGTGGTAACTGAATGATAGAGCGCAAGTTAGGCAATTGCTTCCAGAAAACGAAGGCTTAAGAAAACGAAGTGAACTCAGAGTTTAATTAAGTCTTTGTTAAGAGAGATTCCATTCCTTTAGAGCGAATTTCCGTCATACATGGAAAAAAAGAAAAAGACCCAGAAGGGAAGGAAATCGGACAGTCGTCTAGTCTCAAGAAGCAGTTTCTCAAGACCAAAAGTCGCAAGTCCCGTCCGTGTAAACGAGCTTGTTGACAGCGGCTCCCGCGTAAACGAGCTTGGTGGTAGCGGCGCCAGCAAGCAACGATATACTCGCGTTACTCACGAAAATTTCACGTTGATTAACACCAAAAATGAAACCCGTACTTTACATTCCATCAGTAGACATTCTGTGTTAGAATAACCCGTCTTGAAACGACGTAATCTTCAAGTGATGGTGTCTTCACATTCCTCCATCTTCGTTCGTAGGCTTAACCTACGAGTCGCGTAGTCTTCACCTACTGCATCGGTTTGGGTTACTAACCGCGCAGTCCATCACCGTATCTGATTAAATATATATTATAGCATTTATATTTGCATGAAAATTAATGATACTTCCACCCAAAACTCCTATTCTAGGTTGATTTTTTAACCAATACCTTGAAGATCACGAATAAATTTATTTGCGAATTCTTGACGCGGTTAAGATAGCGCCCTAGCTGTCACTTGATTTTAGTCGCATCTCTCTGCTACTTCAGAAATAATTACTTCAGCAGATTATCTCATTTCTTCAAATACCACCTACTACTTGTAATCTCAATATTTAGGTGTCGCGTAGCGAGTTATTCATTCCTTACTACTCTCAAAGTTCAAATCCTGATAGGAAATTCAGTTCATTCAGGGAGTTTTCAGCACTATGATTTTCTTATATTAATTGGTTTAAGCGTCAAAAAGCAGAATCACCGTCTATTCTAAGAAACTAAGCCTATCGTCAGTGCTTCTTTGCAGGAATTTATAAAATCTACAAATCGCAAAACAACAAATAAACTATCTAAAATTTGGAAATTGTTGATTCAACAAAATTTCAAATTCATAATCAACCGCTGTGGAAATATGAAATTTTTCCAGAGACCAGATCGAACCAGCACGTTGCGATCAAATAGAACTGCTCAAACTTCTACGTAATTTAAAGTTAAGATAACTGCAAAAAATGCTACACGTCCATTTTTAGGACTTGATACCGTAATCATTCCTAATATATTTTAGACCAACGAGTACAAAACTACGAAAATGGCCGAGGCTCTTACCTGCTCATTTAGGCCGGAAGTCTCACAAGCGAACCTTGCCAATGTTCATGATCGACGATACCCATAAGAAGATTATCGGCTGCTGGTGAATATTCTTTCAATTAAAGCCCCAAAGGAGGAAGCAAAGACCATCAAGTACCCTGTCAAGGAGGCTGTTGTCTCTTACCAACGCTTATGCCAGTGCCGATAACTTTATCGTACATGGCTTTCCTGAATACTACTGCACAGCAATTCTGTACGCCTCCACACATTTATGAAATTTTAACTAGAATATTTAAAATACATATATTTGCTCAATGCATATATTACCATAACTTGATAACTTAAAATTTATCATGTTTTAAATAACAACCGCCTCACTTCGAAACGACCTGGACCAAGGCGAATCATTTTACTTCATAAAGGCGAACCTCACGAGTACTGCCTCAACCTTTCCGTTGTTCAAGCAGTTGCTATGTCGTGGAGCATTCGTTGCCATGCAGGATTTTGTTGCGGTACCACTAAGGAAATAGTGGAAGAGTGCAAGGGATGGTGCATTGGGGGGGGGGGGGGGCGAAAANGGGGACAGAAAGAAGAGAAAGAAATGAAAAAGGCAGTAGGAAATGAAGAAAGCGCTTGCGCATGATAGTGGGTTGTAGGTGATTGGGGTTGGATTGGACCCCGTTAGGGCCTTGCTTTAAGCGGGTGGGTAATAAGAATGTGGTGGATATTTATTTATATTATTCTACTTTTCAGACTAAATAACAAAAAATAAAAATGTTGCGCACTGTTACTATTTACATCCGATTTTGTTAGATTATTTTTCCTAAAAATGATATGGTGACGACTAACTATGAAGGTCGGTTGATTATAGAAGTTAAAACTTTTTCCAAGTTTCGGGTATCGTCGCGTCCATGTCGTAGTTGGTTTATAAGGATTTGGAGAATAAGATGCCGAATTCCTCTTTGCGGGAGAGGCTGGCAATATGGGCTTCCAGTATTATGGCGGTAATTCCAGTAGTCGCGTTTGTCAGTGTCAGGCTGTATTGGAGGCACTTTGCTTTGCTACATTGCTTGCTTAGCAATGTCGGCGTGAGCTCCACGTGTCTTTTTTTTTATTGTCTCACTCCATTTCTGTTGTTTGTGTTTTATTTTCTGACTGCGGTATGGACAGTTTGCTACAAGTTATGCGGTGGTCGTTGTGTTAGTTCAGACATTTCCTGGCAGTGTTAGTGCATTATGTGTAAGCGTGGTCTTTCTCGACGCATTCAGAACAGGAACACTGTAAAGCTGTGATTTTAATTGTACACGTAGAATGCATTGGTAAATATGCGTTGGGCTATTGTGGTGTCTGTGGTCATTGATTGATTGATGCCGGTTTGGAGGTGAAGAAGAAGTCATGCGTCGACCGCTTGTAACACCTGGACTCAGCAATGATTATTTAAAACATTTCTTCATCTTTCATTTTCAATTTAATTCCTCTTTCCATTGGTGCATGCTCTCCACGTTGTCGTTGGTTTCTCATGATGTGTAGCGATGAGAGGGAAATTGTCATTAGGTCCAGTATTCTTCATTGGCTATAAGGTAGTTAGACGACCAGTTTGTGTGAGATACGCAGCAGTTGCTCGCACTATGGAGTGCTGAACTCTTCTGGGGTAATTGCCTCCACCGAGTAGCACACGCACAGAAATGTGAGGGACTCCCAGGGCATTGATGCTTGACACCATCACCTGTCTCTCATGATCATATAGGGCACATATCAGGAGGAAGTGTTCAATTGTTTCTTCTACCCCACAGTGCAGGCACATGGGAGTGTCAGCCATCCCAAAACGATGGAGGTAAGAACGAACCCCAACATGTCCCAGACGAAGGCGTGTTAAGACTACTGAAATACGGCGAGGGTGACAAGCAATCCATGGCACTGGAGACAACCCTGAGCGAATGGAAGCAAGATGATAGCCCCGTCCATCTGTAGCCACCGCAGAGACCCAATCCAACTCCCAAAAACTAAGGAAGCATGACCGAAGCATAGCAAGGGCATCCGAGCAAGGTAGAGGGAATAAGGCAGAGTGATGCAGATGATGCCCCAGTTTGGCAGCAGCATCAGCACGTTCATTACCAACAATGCCTGTGTGGGCCTTGACCCACTGCAAATGTACAGACTTTGAATCATTCAGCCGTAATAGCAGCTCACGGATGCCATGGACAAGATTACAACAAGTGCCAGTGGGTGATTGTAATAGCCGCAAAGCTACAAGAGAGTCAGAACAGATGACCCATTCAGGGAAAGAGTCAATTTCAATGAGCCTCAGGGCCTGCAGAACTGCAATCAGTTCAGCAGACAACACCTGTCTCTTATACACATCTAGATGTGTATAAGAGACAGGTATATGACTCTCCAGTCTAATGAGGACATCCATTGTTCCCTGTTGTCGTCGAAACCCACACTGACTTGCTGACAGGAGCTCCATGCGATCAACAATGTACTCTAGGCGAGCAGCTACCAACCGTTCCAGCAGCTTTCCAAGACATGACAGCAGTGTTATTGGCCGGTAGGATGAAGGAAGTGAAGGATCTTTGCCAGGTTTCAGGATTGGAAGAACTACTCCCTCCTTCCAAGAAGTAGGGAGGATACCAAGTTGGAAGCTTTGATTAAACAAAGCCAAAATAGATCCATGGTGCTCAGAACTTAAGGCTTTCAGGAAGCTATTATGGATGTCATCTCCACCTGGCGAGGTCATCCTCATCCGGCTCATGGCTTTGGTCAGCTCTTCACTAGTGAATGGTGAGTTATAGTCACCGCCATCAGCCCAGCTACTAACAATCAGATTATGTAAGTTTGCTGGGGCCCGTATTTGACCACTCTGCCCAGAGTCCTGAAAAGTGCGACAAAATAAATTTGCTTTGGCAAGAGTGGTATGCAGCAAGTTTCCACCATCCACTACAGGGTAGGCAGGCATGGTGTAATGGGAGCGCATTAACCGTATCTTCCTCCATGCCACTCCAATAGTAGTGGTATATGTAATTTTGGAAAGGAATTCCTGCTTGTAGGCACGCTTATGCTTCAAGACAACATTACGGGCTACAGCCTGACAACGCTTGTATTCTATTAGGTTAGCCTGTGTTGGATGTCTTTCCAGAGTTCTTCGAGCATGTCGCCTGTTCCTAATTGCCTCTCCACAAGCTTCATCCCACCAGGGAGAAGTCAGTCGCCTTGATTGCTTTCCGGTGGTTTGGGGGATGCAGGCAGATGCAGCGTCTATAATTCGAGAGGTCACATCTGCTGTCAAATTTTCAATGGATGTTGGTTGTAGCAAGGTGGAAGAAGAAACACCTCTAGAGAAATTCTTCAAACTTTCACTGGTTACCTTCCACCGTGGAACTGGTAGTGATGAAAGAACATGAAGAGGAATTGTTGAAGATGCTGATATTGGAATCTGTTCTGAATTTTCCGCATGATAGTGTTACGATACGATAGTGTTCCGCATGATAGTGTTACGATATGAATACGATAGTGTTCCGCATGAGCGACTGTTACGTAAAGTTAATTCTTTGGGAATAGAGGGAAATTTACTCCAATGGTGAATGGATCAGGAATTTCCTAGTAGGCAGAAGATAACGTGTCAGCATTAACGCAACCGTAATTCAGACTGGGTAACTGTGCGCAGTGGCGTACCGCAAGGAAGCGTTCTTGGGCCTGTTTTGTTTGTCGCGGGTAGCCTGCCGAAGACCACCACTGCCCTGGATGTAATGGACCATCATGATTCCTGCCTTCCGGAACGTAGCCTTCAACACTTCAAGCCGTCCGTATCTAGGCCGTGGGTCGAACCAGCCCTCAGTCAAACGGCCACTTGTCGAAGGACGATAAATTTTGGAACAGAACTATGCTATCTGGAACCTAACCTCAGATGTGGTGAACGTAAAATTACGTAATTTAACGATGCCCGGAAGTCATATTCGATCCGCCGCCTGGTGGTGCACGGCAGGTGGTGGTCAAGGCCGGAAGAGGACAAAGCAGAGTGGTGCACGGCTGATTGGTGTAGGTCCGGAGAGATCCAAGGCGTTCGATTCAGGGCTTATTGGTGCACAAAATTGGTGGTGCACGGCTGCGCTCCCTTTGTCGCTTTCATAAACGATCTACCAGTACCAGAAGTAGTGTCAAGCCGCAAGCATGTGCTTCATGTATGCCGATGACACAATAGTTTATAATACCGTTAAGGATGCGTCAAATAAAATGCAACTGCAAAATGAGCTTGATAGTTTAGTTGACTGGGCTGATACGTGGCAACTGCGTTTCAATGCTGACAGGTGTAAAGTACTTTACCTCGGCAAGAACAATGAACAGCATGAGAAGACAGGCCAGTGTGACAGGGTTGCAACAAGAGGGTTATGATTGAGAAGTCTTGCGTGGAAAAAGATCTTGGAGTTTGGGTCCACAAGGAGCTAAAATTTTCTAGACATATTGAAACACAAGTTAATAAATCCAATAAACTGCTTGGGCTGATCAGACGCTCCTACGAGTACCTAACCTAGATATAGAAATGATGAAGCTGTTGTTCACCTCTGCGGTGCGCCCGAACCTAGAGTTTGGAAACGTTGTGTGGTCACCGAGACTTGAAAAGGACAGAAATTTAGTAGAGTGTTCAAAGACGTGCAACAAGGATAATTCCAGGCTTAAAGGGCAAGCCTTATGAAGAAAGATTGAAGATTATGATGCTTCCCAGTCTCCGTTATCATCGCCTGCGTGGTGACCTCATTGAAGTATACAAGTATGCTCTGATAATGCTCATGGTTTGTAGTGACTTTGTACAAGGTCCCAGAATGATTACCGTACTAGAATTTGAAACAAGAACCAACACCAGGAGCAACAGCTATAAATTAAAAAAAAACTGCGGTGCAATTTATCCACGCGACCACATTTCTTCTCGCTTCGAGTCACGGACATGTGGAACAGCCTCCCTGACGATATTGTTCTTATCACAATGCACTGGCTGGCGGAAGTTCTAAATAGTAAAGTCTAAAGAGATCTAAAAGTGAAGTGTTACACCCCAGTTGTGCTCACTGCTCAGGCTGGGATGTGCGCTATCCGCATACCCAAAGCCTTCAAAAGATATTATAAAAAAAAATCCGTTGTGATCTCGTAACAATGTATCCTACGTATACGTATGGCTATTAGTATTAGCGCTTCATAAATCAAAACTGGTCTCTTGACTGGACGTGCTTTAACTCAACCGCAACTATTTATAAATACGAGTCTTCAATCTTGCCGTTCACGCGACCAGAGTCCGATGATGAATATGAAAATCATGAAAAATTAATCCAACTTCCCAACTACCAGCAAAACACTCTTTAATATACTCTTATAATATGCAAGGATAATTTACAACTTTATAGGATATTCTTGAATAATTGCCACGCTATCGGAGATCCTCATTTTCTCCAAAATAATCATTAGCTTCATTTAGCCAAGTCCTCCACAACGAAGAACACCAGCCAGATATCAGCTATATAAAATATTATTTATATGAAATAAAAAATGCTATTCATCAAAGTGAAAGAATACAAAGAACTTGCCATAATCACCATGCAGTGAGAAACTTGCCATAATCACCAGCGAGAAAATTCAGACCACTGTTGTGATGAAGTAGTAGTGAACTTTCTGGTGCAAAATCTTTGACGAGTGCACAATATAAACAATTTTTCTTGCATAAAAAGAATCTAAATTATTTAATAATAAGGACCCAAATTCTTATATTCATAAGTAGACCAGAATGTAAAGTACGTCGCAAATCAAGGTGTACGACCAATTTCTAAAGTCTCCGATTCGCAGCGGCATCCTATGAACATATTTCAGAACTACGAAGCCACCATCACTGGAGCTTTCGGTAAGAAGTAGCAGTTTCGTTCAGATCCTTTAAAGCCATATTTATCAGTACAACCGAACGATTGAAATAGTCTTGAGGCTCACAAAGGTGAATTTGTCTCCAATCTTGCCAGTTATCAGATGATGCAAACTTCTCTGATCGTACAAAAGAACACAGGAGAGAAAAGCACACAGCGTGGGCCAAATTTATTTCGATTCGATGAGAATTGTCAGTCAAAAATAAAACTGTAGCCCCGAACTGCGAGTGTTTAACTTCTCCTCCTTAACATTCTCATTCGTTCAACTGCTACCCAAATTTTAATTCACACAATTTTTTCTGTAAACTGTTATCTTAAATATACTAGAAATACATTGTTATTCATGCCTTACACATAAACCAAATTGCTCCTCAACGCCAAAGAGAGCGACTTAGAGAACTTGTTCTAATGCTACAGTACCTGAACTAGATAATAACATACGGGGATGATGGGAGAAGAAATTCAATGAGTTAAATTAGTGATCGAGTTAAATTTCTGCTGGATGGCGTTACCAAGATAGATCCCTGCAGGGCATAATTGAAGAACTAATAACTCTTGGCAATGTCTCCAAAGCGATCAACCAATGACGTCCAAATAAAGCCAACGAAAAGTTGGCTTTGTTTGCCATCTTGACGAAGGCCTCAAAAATACTGCAAGTAAGTCAGTAGGAGGGCCCCGTAATGCCATCAAGAGTTTTTAGTTAGGCCCTCAACCCCTCTACGGTTCCCCTCCCAAAGAAGGGTGAATTTAAGAGGCTGCGTAAATGTTGTCCACGTCAAAGGCGTCCTTCAACGCGGTTTTTGCCAGCAGGAACTTGGCCTTCTTGATAGCCGTCGCTGCAGAGGGACAAAGACGTTAGGACGGGACGTTTCGACTACAATGTAAACATAGGTCGTCACAATGCGAGGCTGCTTATATATATACAGTGTCACCAAGAGTCGTCAGGGAGGCATGTTAAGACTACAATGTTATTTAAAGGCTAGGAGCCGCACCAGCTCCTAGCCTTACGTAACCATACCGTATATAACTGGCGGACCAGTTTGCTATATACGCCCACCTCAGAAACCACAGCAGATGTAACACTCACCAGTTTCAGAGTACTCATGGCCGTTGATGCAGGCGGTGACAGTGAAGACCTTCTTGCCGGTGTTGGGGTCGATGGCATCAGTGTTAGTATACTGGATGCCAGGGCAGAGCTGGTGCAAGACCATCACAGGGTGCTGTGTCCTCTGCGCCTCCGCGTTCTGCTTATTAGGCCGGATCTATGCAGAACAGACACGCGTCATTGTACGCAGCTATCTGCTGGCCCAACTGGTAGCACTCAATGACTAGCTTTATGAACCAAGGTGTCCACAAGCAATGAAACTAAATGAGGGCTAAGACATGTTGAAGGAGAAAAACCTGCCCTTACGTCAGTGCTCAGTAGATCAGGACAACCTCACAAACTCAGCATAGTTTTTCCCACGCAGCTCCACTACCTCAGCCGCAAAATGACTCATTATGTGAACCGAGTTTTAAAAACAATTTTTTGTTTTTGATTACTTCACCTAATTATTGCAGGAGGGGATTTTTCAGCTGATCTTTAGCAACTATCAGCACAATATTTCCTCCTCACTGCCCCTACCAGCAGCACAGAACATTTTGCAACCCACTCTGTCCCCGACAGCAGCCCCGAGTGCAACCACCACCTGCCGTGGTAGAGGATCACAACAACTCACTGGTTTGGGGGCCACAACGGTGTCCAGTACGGAGGGCTGGGGAACCTGAAGAAGAACAAAAGCCATGAGAACTGAAATCCAACGCGTAAAATATCTGCTAAAATTCTCATGACACTTGAGCGTCCAGCCGACCCCTTGTGTACTTGTGATGAGTTACACGAGTAAAACTTTGAGGTTAGCTCAGGCACAAGAGGCCTCCATGACGTCCGGCACAAGGGCTTCACACCTGACGCCCGCCACAAGGGCTTCACACATGACGTCCGGCACAAGGGCTTCACACCTGACGCCCGCCAACAAGGCACAGAAGTTTCACACCAAAAGTTCAAGACTAAAGTTTGACTGACTTGCTCCATTTTGACGAGCGCAGCAGGCGCTGCAGCACTGGAGGGGCCGCGGGTGAGGTGGGCGCTGACATTGCTGAAGACGCTGCCGCTCTGCTCACCCTGCTGCTGCATGGCAGGTTGCAGGTGCTGCTGCATCTGCTGCAGCTGCTGTACCGGGAAACCTGCATGCAAAGAAGTGCAGTCGCTATAATGCGCACCTTTAACTTAAATGTTAAATTAAACGTATTCAATAATGAATATGACAAAAAGAATTATTTACTGTCAAGAGCTAGGGACTCGATGATGGAGCTGTTTTATGACGGGCATAAGCACCTGCACACATGTTGAGGGCACCAGGCATGTTCTGTAGCCCGGGCTGGCACATCCCTATACGCCCGTCCCGCCAGTCCATGAAAAGTTTGTACATGGCGAAGGAGGCGAGGGTGCGCCAGGGGGTCGTGTCTTCCTCGAGGCTGGTGGGCTCCCCCGCGGTGGGTTTTGGCGGCGGTGGCTTAACGAAGCTTACGAGAGCAGCCTCAGCCGCCGCCTGCTTGGCGAGGTCTTTGGTCGAGCCATAGCCGCGGAATGTCTGGCCATTAACCTGTCCATACATGTAACTTTTTTATTACAAGATAACATATATATTAAAAACAGACATAAGCTCATTGATTAGGTTAAATATATGGGCACTCATTGATGCCATAAGCAATAATGAATAGCAATGGATAGATTAACATCAACAGCATTAAACTGAACTGTAATTAAATCACATAAGAATGTTCTTTCCGTGCTATGTGTCATGTGCCAACAGCAAAAAAGTCTTTCTTAAACCATTATCATATCAACGTGATTATAGTCACATAGAATACTGCAACACTTCCACTACTATACAACATTCCAATGACATAATTATAAAGCAATGTTGAGCAAGAGTTCAGAGTCACATGTTTGGGCTAACGCCATTTTAGAGCTTAATACATAACTGAGGATAAGACATGGTTGGGCTAAAGACCTGATAGAGACAAACCTCAACTGACACGCAGAAGTTGCCAATGGTGGCCACAGGCTCAGTGATATACTTGAGGCCAGCCTGCAGCTCATTGAGACACATAATGGAGCTCTTGGGCTGGAGGGCTTTACGGAAGAGGGCGTTGCGTTTAGCAGGGTTGGGCTTGCGCTTGATGGGTCGTCCGTCGGCTGGAGCAGCACACGGTGCAAGAGAAGGTTAGTCTACTCTGAGATATTGGCTCTACTGGACCTTTACTGATTGGCAGCCAGTAGCTACCAGGCACCCACATGACACTCTTGTCTTTACTAGACCTCGCATTTCATTCTGTCGTAATAATTCTCATCAGCATTTGAGCAGAGCAAGTAAATTTGAATTGTAGCGTTGTAAATTATCCTCATTGCTGATCTTTGGTAGCTGTCAATATCAAATATCGGAGTTTGTTCTCAATTCTTTTTGCTGAAACCAAGAATTTTTTGTCTGAGAGATGATGCCATATTTCTGATATTAATTAATTATAAGAGATGCCATGCAAGAGTGCTGCGGCAGCAAGACGCCAGTGAGCCAATACGAGTAGACTTGTTAATGTCAAGCTGTTCAGATGATATTAACTCTGAGGACACTTTTCTGTGAAGCTCACCACGTTGCACAACTCAACTTATGCCACATTGACTTCATCCTCTTCTAACATACAAGTTTAAGGAAAAATTTGCTTACATTTTTGAACTGAAAAAAAGCACTTTGGTCAAATTTTCTCACATATGAGCCAATATTTCCCTTCAAGAATTGCATGATCGTGAGAAAAATTTAAGTGAAGTATATTGTTTTTGAATATATTTTAAATTATTCTGCAGCAGCATTGAGGCTTAATAGAAGATAAAGTAGACAACATAGAAAGAGAATGAAGTGCATGAGTTGAACACATGGCCATTGGGGAGCAAGTTGAGTGCATAACGTGGCAAGTAAAGTGCTGGAGTTAACACTGACACAGAGACACACCTTGCACCATGGGGATGCCCAAGTGTCTGCATCACAGAACATAACCATGTATTATATACATATAGTATTTTGCACAGGTAGATGATATGTACCGACATAATACACTTGCACCATGATAAGTTTGATACAAAAATAATGTTCATTTATGAGGAAAAAAGTGCAGATTTGCCTGTTGTCGTGGGGACACATCAATGGACTAGAGATATTGATTTGATAAATTGTGGATATGAAAGTGTGTCAGGAGTGAGTGCAGGTGTGTCAGGAGTGTGTGCAGGTGTGTCAGGAGTGTGTGCAGGTGTGTCAGGAGTGTGTGCAGGTGTGTCAGGAGTGTGTGCAGGTGTGTCAGGAGAATGTGCAGGTGTGTCAGGAGAATGTGCAGGTGTGTCAGGAGAATGTGCAGGTGTGTCAGGAGAATGTGCAGGTGTGTCAGGAGTGTGTGCAGGTGTGTCAGGTTGCTGTACAAGTGTGTCAGGAGGGTGTACAGTAGTACCCAAGTGTAGGTCATGGTTGTTATTGACAAATAAGCATAAAAATATGTACTTGCACACTTTATGTTATGCAAGACAAGAATGTTATGGCGACAGGCAGAAATAACACAACAGGAGTCCTGCCACATACTGAAGAATAAATACAAGATTACACAATCTATTCCACTCTGGCCTAGAGCAGCAGAAAGCTGCTCAGCAATTTCAAATAATACCAATTATATTATAAATCAAGAGGATATTCTAAAATAAACTTAGAATACTGAATCTATTCAGGTGTATTGCACAGCAACCTGTAATGTGATTAAAATGTTGTGTACATAGTAAATATATGACTTGCAACTGCGCTCATATTTAGAAACTAGTGCAAACTATCTGCAGTTGCTGTCTCTGAACAGAGGCTGTCTCTCTGCAATGCCCAGTCAACTAGGAATATAATTACAATACTCTAAATATACAATAGCATAGTATGCTGCATTCACCCATGAATTTGCTGCTTAGATATAGCCCAAATCACCCATGGATTTGCCACCTAGATGTAGCCCTAGACATGCTGAGGCAGCAGAGCCTGAATTGTTTTGTTCATATCTATACTTCAAATAGCTGCCACTATTGCAGATATATAAAAAAGTTATAAAAGTGTGCAACAACCATTCTAATTGAGCTGTTTATTAAATGCAGGGATTTAAATTGTAGTTATTATAACATTTAGTTGTACATAAACTTTCTCTATGTTCCTCAAACAAAAAAAAAAAATCCTGTGCAAAAATTACCAGCAGTGATACTACCACCAACTTTTAATCTTCAAGCTCAATTTCCCATTGGCAATAAATTCAAGATTGTTGCATGCTACATTGGAGAGAAATAAACTAAGTTTGTTGAGATGCAGTTAGCAGCACAGCAGCAGCATTTATTACTGAATATGAGGAGACGGCTAGGACATGATAATGATGGCATTACTGAATATGAGGAGATGGCTAGGACATAATGCTGTTAGTCAGGACATGACATTGATGTTAGTTAGGACATGACAATGATGTTAGGACATGACAAGACTCACGTCCAAGACAAAACTCACGTCCAATTTTCTCCCAGTGCTTGAGCTTCCTCTTGGGATTATCAGAGTCGCCATCTGCTGCTGGTGGCTCAACACCATCCATGGGAGCTTCCTGCACATACCCATTCATTGAACATCAAGCCAGGCAGGAGATCTAAAAGACTAGTTAATTTAACACATTGAGTGGCATATGACCTACTGGTGGGTTGTTGCTCATTGCCTTCTTCTGTGAAATGACCCATGAACAGGTTATTCATGAAAATAATGCAAATAATAATAAATAATTTAAAAGAAAGTTAGCATTACTGCCATTTTTAGCACATCATGTTGATAATATAATATACATAAAGGTTTTAAATAACAGAGTGTGTGTTTGACTGTTGGATTTGAACACATGAAAAAGCATATTTATTATTTTAAATTGGAAGGTTCAATTGGAACCCAAACAGAATAGCACTAGTGGGCATTCAGCAGTTTCAAGAATCGCATTCTATGAGTAGAAGAGATTTACAATGAATTAAAAAAAAACACATTTCTAAATGTAAAGATTTGTGAAGCCTTTCCACATGCGTAAATAGAATTGACGGTAGCAAGGATGTTCAAGTCAAACAGACAAAGACAACTGGCCTGTCTGGCCATAATTAAAACTTGTCCACTATGGATTGGCACAGACATTAATTAATACTAAAAATAATACAGTGAGATTTTCCCAGCTCTAGTATCAATATATTGTTATAGATTCATTGCATTTTTGTCTTCTGTATAACATGTAGCCTAAGAAATAAAAGGGCCTATACCCAGCAATTGGCAGTGCAAAATACTCGTTAGACAACAGCCACTGAACTACCGCATTAGAGCAAGGATGCTGCAAGTTAGACTTTTTATCAAATGCATGAGGTGAGTACAGGAAAATATTGCCTGAACACTCAATTACAGAAATTTAAATCTCATTTCAATATAATGCAATCTATAACAGTTAATTTAGACCCTGCCACTTATACAGCTGAAGGACAATTGAATGATGGCAGAATGTAATCCTATGCTTATATTCTGACCACAGCTTGGGCAATTCATCATGTAATGAAAAGAAACATCAGAATTGAAGAAATAATTAATTGTGTATGAGAACTAATAAATAAAATGCTTCAGCTTTTCATAATGACTTTTTTTCATTTTTAAGCTGGATAAGACACTTACACAACCAGTATGTAGGTACGTGTGTGTAAAAATATGTATATACAACCAAGCAGGATGTCTCTTATGCCAAAATCACCATCTATGATGTATAATTTATTAGTTGCAGTTCAAATTTACAAGTGAATACCATAAAATGGGGTAACTTTGATCACTTTATTTTTTCAAAATGATGCCATTTTTTTTACCAGATAAGTTAAACTTATATTGAAATATGACCTTTAATGGCCATTGACAAAATTTTTCTATATCAAATAGTTTTTGAGTTTTGGGGGTTTTTGTTAAAAAAACGGAAAATGGTCAAAGTTACCCCGGGAGTCAAAGTAACCCCATTTTACAATAATAAATTTCTCTCAATTCAAAGTGTAAAGGAGAAACAACTCCAGGATAGATGGACAAGAAGACATAATGTGTTGAGCACCAGACCTGTGTTGGTTGATCATAATACTGCTGCTGGTCGTCAGCATAGGGGCCAGCCTCCATCCTGCGCCACATTCCTGTTAAATAAACAGACAGTATTAAATACTGTTCATTTCAAACCAAACAAGATAGAACAGTTTTTTTTCAATGAAAATAAATTTCTATAACATTAATTACAACCTATATAAAATATATAATGCTATTTTCATTTTAATCGCATCATATAAAAATTATCAGCGCAATCTCATGCCCCACTCTGAACAAGGAGCTACTGCTGAACAGTACAATCTCATGCCTCACTTTGAACAATTATCTACTGCTGAACAGTACAATCTCATGCCTCACTCTGAACAATTAGCTACTGCTGAACAGTACAATCTCATGCCTCACTCTGAACAATTAGCTACTGCTGAACAGTACAATCTCATGCCTCACTCTGAACAATTAGCTACTGCTGAACAGTACAATCTCATGCCTCACTTTGAACAATTAGCTACTGCTGAACAGTACAATCTCATGCCTCACCCTGAACAATTTAGCAACTGCTGAACAGTACAACCTCAGGCCTCACTCTGAACAGGTCAGGAAAAGTCCTACTTTTTTCTGAAATATCACAGCTCTAATATCATAATTTCTGTAGGTTTGAAATCTCATGGCTCTAATGTCATGCATTTTTGTTTGGTTGAAAAAAATTGCACTTCACACTTTGCAAACATGTCATTTCATAAAATTGTCAACCTCCGCAATCCACAGTACTTCAATGCTCCAGCCAAAATAATCTGCAGAACATCATCATAACAAGTTAACCCAAAACGTTTTGTTGAAGATCACATAGTTGGGGTCACGTCAGGGAGGTCAAACTGCATTATCACATATTCAGTTGCTACTAAAGTAAAATGTTATTGTTGCTGTTTGACTGTTTTTAAGGTTAAATTAGAGATTTGGGATAACAAGTGCACCAGACTTTGTAAATAAGTTTGTGACTTGCAAATACCGTAAAATGGGGTTACTTTGACCAGCGGGGTAACTTAGACCACTTTTTGTTTTTTTAACAAAAACCCCAAAACTCAAAAATGATTTGACATAGAGAAATTTTGTCAATGGCCATCAAAGGCCTAATACTGAGGCTATGTAACACAATAGAAAGATCTAGAAAGTTTGCATTTCTAATAGGTTAAAAAATTAAAAATGTGACCCACAAAAAAGAGCTTTTATTTAAAGCCTGTTGGAGTACCCCCTCCAATTTTTATATTTTTTGGCAAAATAACTCTAGGTTTTGATGCATTGTAGTAGAACTCTTCTAGTTACATATGCAAAAGACAAATTTTAAAAAAGTGTCATAGTTTGCAAATGGGGGGTGCCGCCCCCCAATGGGGTAACTTTGACCACCTAATGGCAGCCATGACGGGGTAACATTGACCGGCTTGGAAATTAAGTTAAAATTACCATAGGTACCTATATAACATATTTTATGTTTGATACACCTATTAATGTTATTTTCTTTATGTTTCAGACTCTACAGAGTCTTATATATGGTAATTTTAACTTAATTTCCAAACCGGTCAATGTCACCCCATCACGGCTGCCATTAGATGGTCACATTTCGCTCATTTGGGGGCAGTGCCCCCATTTGCAAACTATGACACTTTCCTAAAATTTGTCTTTTGCATATGTAACTAGAAGAGTTCTACTACAATGCACCACAACCTGGAGTTATTTGGAGTTATTTAACCAAAGAATAAAATTGATTTTACCACCTGGTCAAAGAAACCCCAAGAGCTGGGGTAACAAAGACCATCACTTTTTTTGAAATTACATCAAAACTATGAGAGGCGGGAGCCAGCAGTTTACGGTGAGTAAAGCTAGAGTATAGACCTGTATTTTGCATGTTTCAATTTAAGTTTAACTTATCTAGTAATAAAATGGCATCATTTTGAAAAAAAAATGGTCAAAGTTACCCCATTTTACGATAGCTCTTCATGGCCAAGATATGAAATTCACAGCTCAAGGAAATGGAATCATGGCTGGCAGATCAATGAAACCACAGCTCGAAAAATGCAGTTGAGGCTTGCCGAGTAGATATATCCCATGCTGGGCTTTGAACAATTAGCTAGGTATTGCTTATCATTATGGTGGAAGGTGTAACTTGGTAGGCTTTTCAATCCATTTTGTTTATATAAACGGAGAATATAAGATATTACCTATCCAGAATTCAACACTGGTCACTGGCCACATGATTCCAGTAACAAGTAGGAAAATTTTAAATTTCAATCTTGTCTTATTTAATTATATGCTTAATGCATGGTGGTAAATGAGAGTTTTTTGTTTAAGTTTTTTAAATGAGATGATATAATATAATCAGTTACTTCTAAAGGATATTGATGAGAATTTTGAGCTAAAACTGTGAATATATTAAAATTGTGATTAAACTCATTGGAAAAATTTCCTGTTTGCCAGTGCTGGATTTATATTTTTCTACTTATTACTGAAATCTAGCAGCCAAAAAGTGACAAATTTTCTGTATATTTATAATCTTGTGGCCAAATTGTGAACCCTTATTCATAATTATATGCAAGGTAATTTGTCTAGCAGTAGCAGGAATCTCACGGGTCTAAAATTGGTCAGAAAAGATCCAGTTGCAGCTCAAGAGATAGATATATTCCACTAATCTACCTCAATTTGCCAGTTGCCCTATCCTTTGCACTATGCAGTTGTATCTTGTAGTTGTATGGAATGGGATAATTATCATGATCATGAAAATTCTGATCACAATTGTAGGTGTGTCTACAAACTAGGCTTAAATGTAAACAATGCTGGTAAAATGGCAGACAGCCTCTTTACGCATCTGCGCGCATAAGGTATTTAATTTTGAAAGCCCTGCACAAATGATAGCCTAATTTGATTGACTTGTGTTTGGAAATAAACTAAAAAAACTTTAACTATGATGATACCATCTTGTTTTTCGAGAAATGTCTATCAGTTACTTGCTTAGCTGGGATGTGTAAGGGGTAACATTTGTGCTGAAAATAAACCTTGATATCATATATAAAATTAATGAAAGATAATTTAAATTCAAGATTACAGTTTTCATAGCATGCACTGGAAATTTCAGAGCTCTGCATCTATTCCGAGAGTGATTTCTAACATTCCAGAAATGCATGATAGTACTGCAGTTCACATTCAGTTCACTTTCATCATCGTTTCCCCATCATTTTCCTAACATTTTCACATCATTTTCCCAACATTTTTGCATAATTTTTCCATCATGTCCCCCATCACTTACCCTATTTTCACATTATTTTCTCATCATTTTGACATCATTTTCTCATTTCCATATTGTTTTTCCATCACTTTCAGATTATTTTATCAGAATTTCTCATAATTACCCATCAAATCATTCATTCATCATTAATTTATTCAAGTATTTGTCTTTTATTCATCATTTTTATACTTTCTTTATCAATTATTCATCAAAATAGACTTTTTTTCTGTTTACTTCTCCAGATCTCTCTTTGGTTAATTTGTAGCATTCATATCTATCAGTCACACCCACTTTTCCCACCCTCCTGCAGTTAAAGTCTATAACTAAAATGTTTTATTCAAGTTAGAATGGATGGCCTACAACAAAAGCTTTCTAATTTTATTAAAAACTTTGAAATTTGCTCATAAGAAACCTAGATACGATAGTTAAAAAAAAAGTGGCAGAAATTGGGGTAAACGCACCATATTCTGACATCGTGGGTAATTCCGACACTTCTCAACTTTTTCCTTTATATTAAGCTTTGTCTTAGTTCCATGCATGCATAGATGGTTGAAATAGTGACATCATACTATTGCGTGCCAGATTCCCGCAAAACACTAGGTCTGGGCCATCTGGCAGGAAAATATTAAGATCCTCAGAGCGACAGTCCATGTCACCCAGTTTGAACATCAAAACACGTGTCAAAGTTTATAGTTGACCTTGCTCTACCACATAGTGATAAACTTTTTGTGTAGAGAGAATATTATGGTTTGAGACTTTTAAATAAGTCTGTGAATATATTAGGAATCCTTCAAGTATACTTGTATTTACTGATTTTAAGTGTATATTTAGGGTAGAGCCCTTCATTTAAACAAGTTTGGTTAAAAATAATGCCAGTTTCATTGAGGACTTCTTTTGAGTTTATTCTCTCAAGCTTTCAGATAAGAGGTACAGTAATAGTCAATGTGTCTTAATATTTGTCCAAATGGAAGGTTAGATAAATCCTGCAATGTGTTTCGCTCATCACTGAGCATTTTCAACTTCAGGCAACAAGGTCAAGCAGCTAATAGACGAATTGCTTGCGGGTTGGCTGCAGAGAGGAGACTAATTGAAGTAGTGAACAAAGCTACGAGTAAGGTTTTTATACAGTCCGTTGTACACTTGTTCTAGTTATGGAGTTTCAGAGTGCATTCAGATCCAGTCATTTGGTTGTTTAGGTATGGCTTTTTCCGATGAATTAGAATTGCTTCCATTATTTGTAGTCTGTTGAAGTCTGGTTCGTGGCAAGGGATTTTTGTATTTTGCACCCATTCTTCCCAGGTTAATTTTGTGTTGTGGTTGTCCATAGCGTGTGTTTTCGGTCCTCCAGAAACTAAATGCATTGTGAGCCGTCTTGATAGGGTTGTAGTAGTCAGGCCAGTATACAAATTGTTGCAGGGCTCGCACTCCCCGCAGTTACACGTGTATTTGTATATGACATTTGTTTCAGGGCTGGTAGTTTCGGGGCCGTGTTGTTCTTTGTGATTAAACTGGTTACAGTAGTGCTTTTGTAGTAGACCATCAGCTGTAAGAGTTTGAAACGCTGTAGGGATTAGTCTCACAAAATGCCAAATTTAGTCGCACACAGATTTTAAATAAATATGGCTTTTACACATTTTACACAAAGGCTTTTAAATAAATATGGCAACAGTTCACATGCGATCGTCCCTAGTTTATAAATTTAGTTGTGCACAATGTGCATCTGTGTACGTCGGAATGACGGCACGCAACCTTTACACTAGGGTCGCTGAGCATAAAGAGAGGAGTTATAGGACTGGGCAGTTACTATCATGCCCTCCTCATTTGGCTATGCGCACTCACGCCGAACAGTGCAATGTTTTGGTGTCCGACACTGACTTTAAGATTATAGCTTATAGTTCTGATGCTTCTGATTTGCGCATTTTGGAATCATTGTATATTCTTAAAGAGAAGCCTAGTTTAAATGCTGCCTACAGTTCTTATCCATTAGAAATTGTGAATAGATAGGTATTTATTTATTATTCTGCCCTTTGCCTGTAAATTTAGGTTTTAACTTCTGTTGTTGTTTTTCTTATGACTCCAAACTTTATTAATTTTCTGACTGTATTTGTGTTCTAAATTTATGGAACTGACGATGGAGCTGGTCTCCGAAACGTTTTCATTAGAGAAATGCTGAATTATTGTGGAGTTTTCTTCGCTTTTAAATTTGTAGTGAATCTGCGATTCAAGCAATCTAGTGACATTAATCCTGGCAACAGTTTGTGACGTTTCAATATTGCTGGCGCGTAGGGTAAATGCGGTATATTCCGACATTGTGGGAAATTCAGACACTTCTCAACATTTTCCTTTATATTAAGCTTTGTCTAAGTTCCACGCATTCGTTGATAGTTGAAATAGTGACGTCGTACTATTGCGCGCCATACTACTGCCAAAACACTAGGTCTGGGCCGTCTGGCAGGAAAATGTTAAGATCCAAAAAGAGACAGTGCACATCACCCAGTGAGAACCTCGAAGTTGATAGTAGACCTTGCTGAGCTTGCTCTACCAAATAGTGATCCTTTAAGTATACTTGTATTTGCCGATTTCATGTGGTAAATAAATTAATGGATGATTAAGTTAAGAGATGGTTTTAGACACATAAAAACTAATTCCGACACAGCTTAGAATTAGACACACACAGCTTGTTCCACTGTTCTGAGCTGTGTGCAAAAATTAAAATTTTCCTAATTAAAAGCTTAATAGCTTTTAATTAAAAGCCTAATGAAGTAGTGTTCAATATTCAATAGTGTTCTAATTCCAAGCTGTGTTGTGTTCCAATACAGCTCACGCAGCGATCAGAATTCGGACACAAGAGGGTCGGAATTACGAATTAGTAGAGTTTGAAGCGCAGCCGGACCCGGAATCATAGTGGCAAAGCAGAGAATTTTTTAGACTCTCCCTCAAGTTCATTATTGAGTCTTACAAGTAGACCAGTAAAGTATCCTGGATACCAGCTTATTCATACATAAGAAATTGGGTTAAATCTTAGGTAAATTAGGAAATTAAAAATGAACTGATTCTAAAAAATCTCTGGTTTGTCACTATGCCCGGAATTAGTCTCACAAAATGCCAAATTTAGTCACACACAGCATCGGAATATATGGATTTGGTAGGCATAGTGGCAAACCAGAGCTTTTTTAGAATCAGTTCATTTTTAATTTCCTCATTTACTCAGTCTCAAGATTTAAACCAATTTCTTATGTATGATAATGCTGGTATAGTGGTATCCAAGATACTTTACTGGTCTACTTATCATAACTTATGGGACTCAAAAATGAACTTGAGGGAGAGTCTAAATTCTAAAAAACTCTCTGCTTTGCCACTATGTTGGTAGCGTAGGTTTGCATTCTAAGGGCTTTTAAATAAATATGGCAACAGTTTGTGACGTTTCATAGTTGCTGGCGCGTCCTAGTGCGGTGTTTTGAGAGTGACGTAAAGCAATCAGAACTAGAGTTGTGCATACGGTGATATTTTTATAGCCATTCATTTCTTGCTACGTCCTTAATGAGTTAATGTTGGAACATCAAATATGGTGTGTATTTCCCTAGTCCATTCTGGAAACATAATTTAGTAAAGGAAAAAATTCAGATCTTTTTAACTTTTACTTGTATTGCACTCATATTTATATGATAATTTTTGAAAAATTTTCTCTTTTCAACTGTATAATTTTCATTAGGCTAAGATCATAGGAATTAAAGAATTAGACTAGCTGACTAGGGCGGCTAGGCTAGGCCTACTCACAGCACACAGCTGACAGCACAGTCCAGTAAGAGTGAGTCACTACAGAATACAGAAATTTAATAAGCTTAATACTATAAAAAATGAGAATTCTAAAGCAATACTGCGCCGAAAATTATAATAATGGCACAAAGACTTGAAGTCAAAGAATGCTCCTAATGCCAGCAAGAATGAGCAAGTTACTCAACTCATTTAGTAAACTCTACTGTCGTTACGCCTTAGGTACTCAGTTACTGAGTACTTACTGTCGTAGGCTAGGCAGAAAGCCGGTGCCCGATAGTCGGTATTTACTCCATTCTAGTGATTCTACATGTTTTCTAGTACTCAAGTCAAGTACACCAATAACGCTTTAGTCACTGAATAAATCATAATGAATTAGATAAATTCTGAAAAGAGACTATGTATCTTACCTTCGTTCATTTTGGGAAAATATTGCGAACGAGATATCCAATGCAACCTACCGACAACAGATCAATAAACAACACAACGCCGTTTCAGCCTTCGGGTTCAGCATGCGCAAATTGATTGATCGTATTGCCAGTTGGAGGCGTTAGCGTCTATTAAATCCACGGTAAGGAATAGTCGCTAAATATCACAACTACAGAAATTAGTTCTTCACAACAATATGAATGTACTGGCATAGAGGTAGACGTGAAAAATGGGGATTATAAATGCAAATTGACACATGAACCTAAACTTTCAATAACAAGAATACTTATTTTTGAAGTCTGAAATGCAATCATAATGAAAAAATGTTTGTAATTAGGTGAGGTACGTGTTTGGCTCTGTCACGAATCATAATATTATGGTCGTTTAGCTTCCCAAACGTGTTCCTGAGTTAGAAAAAATGAAACAAAAATTGACGATTGCCGTATTAACTCAGCTTCAGGTATAGACAGCATTTCACTCGCAGTTCACGTCGACTCTAAGAGCCCGAAAACCCCTATATATTCCTTCATGTTGATAAGCAACGGTGTAAGAACAGCTTTTGTCCCTAAAATTGTGCATAGAAATTGATGAAATTTCAACAAAAGTTCTTCAAAACTTTAGGACTGTGCTATTATTACGTCTGCGCTGCCTTGTGACGGAGATCGTAAGCACAGCAAGCATCCGGTGTAACCCCAGTGAGCGCCTGAAGACCGGTTCCTTCCCAGCGCCCGGGATGTGCAACAGAGGCAAAATACAAGTTGTGCTCTTAACAAGCTACATATCACCGCGCTCTTTAATACCACGCTCTTAACTTCTATGCTCTTTACTAAAACGCTCTTAACTGCCAGGCTCTTAACTACCACGCTCTTAATTAACTACAACGCTCTTAACTACAACGCTCTTAACAACAACGCTCATAACTACCGCGCTCTTAATAACAACGCTCTTAGCCCCCTTGCTCTTTAATGCCACGCTATTAATTACAACGCTCTTTAATACCATGCTCTTATCCACCACGCTCTTAACTACCACACTCATCAAAGTTACTGCCCGCTATCCCCATAACAGCTCACTGTAACTCTTTCTCATGCACTAGTGAAAAACCTGTTCACCTGCAAACCTCAGACTCGCTCTTCACACATCGGAAATGTGACATAAGCAAGCTGTCGGTCACTTCATCCAATTATATTAACAAATGGATTAATTTAATCATAGATGCAAGGTGAAACCAAACATCATTAGCATTATCTCCAATACACTCATAACTAGTTTATTTGTGAGTGAGAATATTTTAATTGAGGCTGTGCTTCTTTTATCCTATATAACTGTCACTGTGGCCACCCATCTGATGAAATTTATTGTCCAACTGTTGCATTATCTATTTTTTAATAATGCGATGGTGAAATGGCATGCAGTGCGGCTAAAAAAACAAGTGAAATATTCATGCCTAACTCTATTACTTCACAAGATATTATATCTGGCATTACCAGAAGTGAGTGCTTTGTCGTTCAATTATATTTATTGAAGAATTTTAGGATATTTTGTTGCGTTCCTTCAAGTTCAAGTCAGTCCATTCAAGTGAATAAATTTTAACCGTCATGCGCCGTGTTGCTAGCAAGCTCATCTTGAGGCCAAACTTGCGCGCCTCGACTAAATTCAAGTACAACAGCTATCTTCTGATGCGAGCTGCAAACTAAATAATTTATTTTACGGGCTCAGAATAAATGTTATAATGCATAAGTACCACTAATTTCACATTTTGATAGTAATTCTTATAAAAATTCTTGTACTCAAATTGCTGGTATATAAATTCCTGGAGAACCATTGCTCCAACGCGCTCTTAATATATGTGACCGTCTCAGGCCTTACACGCTGCCTAGTAGAAGATCGTTTTCTTGCACTATAAGCGCAGAGAGGGGCCAAATAAGGAGGAGCTCTATTCCAAGTAAGAGGAGAAAAATCAGTTAAAACGCTTGCTGAAGCAGTTATCAGAGCTAACTTTGATATATTTCACTCCTCCCCTTCTGCTCGCTGTTATTATATTATGTTAAGGTGTGATAGGACGCGGCGATGCGATGCTTCAAATTCAAACAACGTAACCAGCTTGAGAGATAAATTGTTCTCTCTGCTCAAATGTCTACGAATATCATTCGATACAAAAAGTTGTCATGGGAAGAGCCACAGGAAGGATACGATGTTTAATTCCTCATACGGAGACAAGTTTGCTTTAATTTTTGATTGAACATTGTTCCATTCATTTATTCCTGTATAACGTGACCATTGTTCCATTCATTTATTCCTGTATAACGTGACCATTGCTCCATTCATTTATTCCTGGATAACGTGACCATTGTTCCATTCATTTATTCCTGTATAACGTGACCATTGTTCCATTCATTTATTCCTGGATAACGTGACCATTGTTCCATTCATTTATTCCTGTATAACGTGACCATTGTTCCATTCATTTATTCCTGTATAACGTGACCATTGTTCCATTCATTTATTCCTGTATAACGTGACCATTGTTCCATTCATTTATTCCTGTATAACGTGACCATTGTTCCATTCATTTATTCCTGTATAACGTGACCATTGTTCCATTCATTTATTCCTGTATAACGTGACCATTGTTCCATTCATTTATTCCTGTATAACGTGACCATTGTTCCATTCATTTATTCCTGTATAACGNATTTATAGGGACATACTTCTCATTATGGTCGACATGTGTACCGAGTTTGAAACGTGTGGCTTTTTTCCTGACTGAGAAAATTTTTTTTTCAAAAATTTCGGTTTTGAATTTTTTTCTCGAAAAAATTCATAATGAAGACCCCCTCAAAATCGTATACATAAGACACGCTAATGGTGCCTATATGCGTGTCAAAATTGGTGACGATCGACTGCGTAGTTCTCACAAAAAACTCATTTGAAGAAAATTTGATTTTAATTCGTTGTCGCCACAAAAACGACCCTGGATGGCCCAAAAAAGTTTATGGAATACCTGTAATCATGCCCAACATGTGTGCCAAGTTTGGCGCCTGTGGCTTTAATCCCGGCTGAGAATAACTCGTTTGAAATTTTCCCCACCCCGGGGGTGGGAAAAACTTGGAAAAAATCCGGCAAAAATCGCGAAAAAATTTTTTTTCGAATTTTGAAATTTTTTCAACGGCATATCATAAAACAGTCTGGGGATGATTTTTTATCGAAATAAACGTTCCTGTGAGATGCACGGATTTCGAGTTATTTCGCCTTGAATTTTTGCCAAAAAGTCAAAAAATCGATTTTTTTTCGAATATCTCGCGAGCCAAGCAGTTTATTGAGAAATTGTCCGATATAAACCCTAATTAACTTTCATTTTGAGATAATTTGACGTAAAAATTTCCTTTCTAGCTTCAACCGTTTGGCCTCCACAGAAAACTGCTAAAAATTTAAAACGGCTTTTTCTCGGCGGAAAAAAATTCCAGAATTTTTTCAATTTTTTCTGTGAAAGATCTCACTATTTTCTATCGTTCCCTCAAAAGGCAACGTCCAAAAAAATTTCTTCGATTTTTAAAAAATTGTCAAATTTTTGATAATTTTTTTGCTTTTCCCCCCCTGGGGGGCGTTTTTTTGAGCGGATCTGGCCAGGAATTTCCGGAAACTTGCCCCAACTAATGAGAAGAAAAGGAGCCAAGATAGAGGCGCGTGCAAGCAACGGCTGATTTTTGGTGAATTTTTGAAAAAATTTATTCGCTTTTGGGGATTTGTGTCTTCCCCATGGGGAATTTTGGGGATCCGACTTTTGATTCGTCAATCTAAAATCAGGCTCTATTATGGGCCAAAATTTCATTTTCGTAGCAGGGCTGGAAGTACGAAAGTGGGTCTAAAAGTGTCGATTTCACGTAGGTACCAATACGGCGAGGACAAGGACGTAAAGTCAAAATCAAAATCTGAATGCGGATCTGAATCTAAGTGTTTCTTCGAAATTCTTTCGGGGCCCCTGCGCCATTAACAAGGGTATACGAATGTGAGGGTAACCAGGGTATACGAGTTAATATGTATAAAGGGTGTGCGAGTATAAGGTCATTATAAGGGTATACGAGTATAAGAGAATCAAGGATAAGAGAATCACGGATTTGAGTATAAGGGTATCATGGGTGTGAGAATATATAGGTATCAAGAGTATATGAGTGTAATGGTATTAAGGGTATGTGAGTGTGAGGGTATCGAGGGTATACGAGAATTAGGGACAACAAACTTAACCAAGATATCGCTTTGTGACCAGAGCAGCCTCGGTCGGTGCTGGTCATGGCCCAGTCGTCTGAAAACTCTAAGACTTTTCCTCTCCTTGTCGAACGGTGTGCGTCACTATTACCCTTTTTAGCACATTTTCTCATTTATGAAAAAATGCACTATTGTGCTCGCCATGTCCGTCTGTCTGTCTGTCCGTCCGTCTGTCCGTCCGTCCGTGACTTCACGTTTTCGTCGACGAGAAAATGCGCTCTCTGTCATTCACTGCAGTGAGTACTGAGTTATATTTTTTATTGTTTTCCTTGTCGTAAGGTGAGCTTTGATATAACCTCTTAAGACTCATATAATATAACCTTATAAGACTTAAGACGAATTCAAAATTTTAATTCATATCTACTCTTCCGATTGGTTAGAATATTCCCGGTCACTTTTCGATTTTGACCGGAACTGTCAAATGGGCTACGCTCTCCTAGTATTATTATTTATTAATAATAGTCTAATATATTTTAGCCCTCTACCGCCGTATATCACTCTCCGAGAAAATAACTTTCAACTTAAATTATAAGTAAACTATTGAGTGTAGCAACCTGAGGACGTTTGTACGCAACAGAGAACATTTTAAAGTTGTCGTGCGTGGCGGCAACCATCAGTGCAAGTCATTTTGCGCTCACTAGAACGTTTCCTCAGAGCTGGGCAGCGCTTCTTTGCAATGTAGCGGCCACTACCGCTACCGCTACATGCTCTAAATGTATCGGGCGCTACCGCTACCGCTACGCCCACTAGATTGTAGCGAGCGCTACCGCTACCGCTACAGTAAAATGTAGCGCTGCTACATTAGCCGCTACAATGGCCAAA